GACACCGCAGGGGAAGAGTTGGGTTTCGGGTTTCGGTGGTAGTGTTTTGGGGAACCTGGTTTGGTTAATGCCAGGGGGTGCATTGTGAGAGTAGTTTCTGGAGTTTGTGTTGCCGCAGGCTTCGAGGGCGAAGCCTAATTTAAGTAGGGGAGAATTGTAACATCCCGAGTTCAGGAGTGCGAGTTCAGGGTTCAAAGTGAAAATATGGATGGTCAACTCAGCAAGTCCATGGGTAGACTTGGCGAGTAGGGTCCCGATTCTGGTCGTGTGTTAAGTGGCCAACTCGACAAGTCGGTGGCTGGACTCGGCGAGTTGGTGCTGTGTGGAGAAAACCTTAATCCCGGGGGTTGAGTCCTATATAAAGAACATAATACCCTCTCCCCAGTCTCTTTACTCTCCCTTGAAGTCCAGAAACCCTAGCATTCATTTGAGAGAGAATTAGAGAGCATTTGGATCTTGAAGGAGTGTTTGTTGAAGAGATCTTTGAAGATTAAGAGGCTTGGAGGAAGGAGCTTTGCAAGGTTTTGGCTTATTTTTCTGTTGGAGTCTTCTCTTGAGGTAATGATTCGTTGCTTGAGCTATTATCCATCAAGATCTATCATTTTTGGGATTTTTGGGAATATATCTTGAGGTAATGTCGTTTTGGTTTCTCCTTGGGATCCCAAAAATGCTAATTCAGTTCTTCATATCTTGCAGTGTTTTTACCTAGCTTCTAGGCTTGAAATTAATTTGCAAAAAAGTAAGTTGATTGGGGTTGGCATCTCTAATAATTTGGTGGATTTGGTTACCCGTAATTTAGGTTGTGCCCCGGATTGCCTACCTTTTGTTCACTTGGGTGTATCAGTAGGTCAATGTATGTCCAAGGTCTCAGCTTAGTCCCCTATTGTTGACCGTTTTCATTCCAAGTTATCGGGGTGCAAGGTGAAAAGTCTCTCCTTTGGTGGACGTTTGACTTTGATCAAGTCTGTTCTAGGGAGCCTGGGAAGTTATTTAATGTCCATCTTCATGGCTCCTCTCTCGGTTCTTAAATCTTTAGAGATGCTCCGTTCTAGATTTTTCTGGGGTGCAGAGTTGGATGACAGGTGTATGTATTGGATCCAGTGGGATAGGGTGTTGATTGGTACAAAAGAAGGCGATCTTGGAGTTGGTAGTCTTTTCTCTTTTAACATGGCTATGCTTTTTAGGTGGAGGTGGTGCTTTTTTCACAACCCTAATCTTATTTGGGTTTTCTTAGTCAAAGTGATCTATGGGTCGGATGGTGGCTGTGGTTCTTTACTTCCAAAAAAAAGGTTGGATGAGTCCTTGGAATGGTGTTATCCGAATGATGTCCCACCTGAGGGATAGTGGTTTTGATTTGCTTTCTCTTTGTCTGATTCGAATTGGTGATGGTTACAAGATTTCTTTTTGGCAGGATACTTGGAAAGGGGATAGGCCACTTGCAGAGATTTTTCATAGGATCTTTGATTTAGATTCTCATAAATTTGCTTCAATTCGTGATAGGGTGGAGATGGGTTGGGATACTTCGTCTCTTAGGAGATTGCCTTGGGGTGGTATTAAGCAGGCTTAATAGGAGGCTTTTTTATTATGATGTAACAGCTTAATTCCAGTCTTGACCGGTTAGGATGGCTCTTGGATTCGTCTAACCACTTTACAGTTGCTTCAGCTAGGTCTTTTATTGACAATGGTATGTTGCCTATAGGTGGTTGCGTAACTTATTGGAATAATTGGGTTCCAATTAAGTTGAATATTTTCATTTGGAGATTAAGATTAAACGGGCTGCCTACTCGAGCAAATCTTTCTCATAAGGGTATTTTGTTAGATTCGATCTTGTGTCCAGTTTGTTCCACTACAGTTGAATCCATCGATCATCTGATTCTTGGATGTAGTGAAATGATTGATCTTTGGACTAGGGTTGCCATTTGGTGGGGTGTTCAGCTTCCTCATCATATTTCCATGGATTCGATCTTGTTTTGGTCAAACTCATTCGCTTGGAGAAGTGGTCAACGTAATGCATTTGATGCGGTGATCATAACTGCTTCTTTGTGTATTTGGAATTTATGTAATTCCATTATCTTTTGAACGGTGTTGCCTAGGAAATCGGTCATTTTTTATGATGTTGTAAAAAATTCTTATTTTTGGGTCACGAATAGGTGTAGTAAAACTAATATCTCATGGACTCCATGGCTTCATGATCCTGCCACTGCTTGTAATTTATTGTAGTTTCCTTTTTCTAGCTTCTTGCTAGTTTTTAATAAAATTCCTCTGTTCCAAAAAAAATTTGTGTAATTTATTCAAATAAAAAATAAAAAATAAAAAACAATTTTGTTTATTGACAGTTTCAAGAATGGTCGTCAAATAAAACTCCATGCATGCATTTTTGCTCGGAGCATATATATATATATATATATATATATATATATATATATATATATATATATATATATATATATATATATATATATATATATATATATATATATATATATATTCAATTGAGAAAATAAAAAAATGTTGGGAATGCGGAATCATTAACAGTCACTCATTTATTTTTTTCGCAAAAGCCTCCGTAACGGAAATGTAAAATGAATAGAAATGTGTTTTCAAACAAAACATGTTTCCTTAAACTATGCTAATCATTACCTTAATATATACAAAAACATAGTTTTTTTTTGTTTTTTTAAGAAGCTATTTTTATTGAAAAATGATTTTAAATATACCAAAATTCATGATGTTTATTCTCTACAAATAGACATCTATATTGATATAATTTTAAGATAAAAATAATTTATTTTTTTTATATTTTCAGCTATCGTTATTCATAAGTGAATAAAAATGCATCAAGTTTTATTACAGTACATTCGTTATTCACTTATGAATAAAAAATATGATTAATTTTTTTTACAATTTAAATATCATTCATATATGAATATAGCATATAATAAACATAGTATATTCATATTTAAATATTAGACGATGCATTTACTTGTGAATATTAACATAGTAGATTCACTTGTGAATATTAGATGATATATTTACTTATGAATATTAAATTGTATATACATGTGAATATTACATAGTATATTCACTTATGAATATTACACAGTGTATTCACATATGAATATTAAAAAGTATATTCACTTATGAATATTACAAGATATTTTCACAAATATTTATAATTTTATATGTTATTCACATATTAATAACATACAGACTTGCATATTTGTTTTGTGTTTTTAATAATCATATACTGATTCAGGTGAGAAAAACATATTCATATGTAAATATAACGTGGTAATTTAGTTTATGCATTTCATCAAACAGTTGGAAAACATACAAGTTAATTTTTTTAAAATGTTAAAAACATGAGACTTTAGCTGGTGGGGGAGTGTTCCTATATAGATGTTGATCTTGTTGATTGTAGGAAGCTATAATGTGGTGGTTTTTCATCATCGACGTCGTCATCTGCTCCTACTCCAACTTCACATTTTGTTCCCATTACACTAACGCTGCTTATTTTCTCTTAGCGGTTGTCGGAGAAGAACAAAGATGAAGTTCGAGGTCGTCGTTGTTTGAGATGGTGACGATAACCCTAATCGGAGTTGGATCTTCAACGATGGTGCTAAATCGTATCCTCTGATTAATGTATTTGGATTATTTACAAGTTTGCCACCATGCGTTTTTTTAAGCTCATTAAATGATAGGTTGATAATGGTTCCCTATTATCAATCTTTTTTTTTCAATTAAACTGCATATATATATATATATATATATATATATATATATATATATATATATATATATATATATGTGTGTGTGTGTGTGTGTGTGTGTGTGTGTGTGTGTGTGTGTGTGTGTGTGTGTGTGTGTGTGTGTGTGTGAGAGAGAGAGAGAGAGAGAGAGAGAGAGAGAGAGAGAGAGAGAGGTACCCCATAAAACAAATCATCTGCAGTGTTTCTGTTAGTTCAAATAGGATTTGAACCCATCAATTTTAAATTATCATAAAAATGTCTCGATCCCTTAGACAATTAATGGTTAGGACAAGGTTGTGATATTCGTCATCTCTGACTAAACTAGTTGATGCTATGATTAATAGTGGAACATTAATTGAAAACTATGTGATTAATGAGTCGTTAGGCATGACTTTTTGTGGTGTAGAATTAAAAGAGAGATTTTAATCATAACCCCAGACGAGATTCTTCAAAGATCTACAATGGATTTATATTAGGGTAAAATTTCCATGTTAATTTGTACAAGGGATGTGTTGTAAATCTTTTGCTTTCTTTTCCTCTTTTGCTAATAAAGGAAATTGAATAGTAATCTTGCTATTGGATTTACTCCAAGTACAAAACACAATGAAAGTGATTGCAGTACCAGATGGAGGACCACAAACGAAGACAACTGAGGACCGACGATGAAACTAGCTATTCTTCTTTTTGTCACCAGATCTCATGTTTTAACAGAATATATATATACCCTACATTCCAATACCCCCTCCCCTCAATTGGTGAGCACTAGTGTCCGTGTATATACATACATATAAAGTCCTATACGCATGTGGGTATCTTCAGAGAAAGAGAGAGGTCGAGCATGGGCATTGGTATCATGATTGTTTATCTATGTGTTCAGACTTTTGTTGAAAGCCTTGGGATCGAAGGCAAAGGCTGAGATTTGTAATCATGATGTTTTTGAAACAACCATATATAATTATGTGCCTGTAATTGCAGCTTATCTATCTCCTCAACCCACCCCAAATATATATAAATTGGGAGAGGGCAATTAAGAAAGAGACATAAGAGAGATGACATAATTTATTCAGTTTGTTTACGTATAATATAATATATATATATACCAGTGAAAATGTGTAAAAAGTTTCACTGAAAAGAGAAAATAATACCAAGATAAAAGTGAATCTTTTTGTGTTCTTTCTGAGATTATATATATATATATATACATATATATATATATATATATATATATATATATATATATATGTGTGTGTTCCTCTCTCTTGCTTGCTTTTTTCAAGGGTTGCTTTAGAAGAGAGCTTGAAAGAGTAAAGAGTGCAGCAGAAACCTTGAAAAAGTATGGCTAAAAGTAGGAGAGAGGTATATCCATGTCCATGTATGTCTTAATCTTTACATGTATTCATGTATGGTATGTGGGTGTCACCTGAAACCCTGTTTCGTTGAAGTTAGGGATAGATTCTTTGGTAATTTTTTGCTTTTTTGATCCCTCTCATTTAAAAAAAACAAAGAAAGAAAGAAGATCTCCCTTCTTTTTTTTCCAGTTTAGTTTTAAAAAGTTGATTAAAAAGGCGTATAGAACAGCATCAACTGCAGTGTATCACAGTCTATCATTCATATAATTATGGAATCTACAAATTTTCATCACCAACAACAACAAGAACACCACCAGCCTCTTGTGGACTCTTCTTGTTATGGACTTGCTTGGTATCAAAACCCCATCCTGTAAGTTCCTCTCTCTCTCTCTCTCATACGTACACACTTAATTTTCTTGCTTATAAACGTAGGGTTTTTAATTCATACATATCTAGGGTTTTAATTCTCTTACATACTTAAAAAAAAAAAAAAAAAAAAAAAGTTATTTGGAGAACATTTTAGCTTCTTATCTATGTTAAACCACTAGATCTCATTGTACAAATTTGTGCAGTAATGGTACGAGAAACAGTACAAACTCAAGAGATGTGAAGCAACACATAAATCATAGCATAGATCTCGTTCCTCCTCCCACTTTGCAAGACTTAGGATTACCTTTGAGTACGATGGAAAGTTTCATGGCGCATGAACTGCAACATCTTGCAAGAATCAAGGATGAACTCTCGCTCTCGAGATCTTATCCAGGACTCTCGGAAATGATCATAAGCAGCAGCCCAACATCCAGCATCGAAGATTTACACTTACATCCATCCCCAACCTACATGTCAAAGAATGATAATCAACGGATTCGATACGACAATGATAACAATCAAGAGATATTTCTCAAAACTTTTTCAAATGGGTGCCAAATAAAAAGTGATCATCAGCATATGAATCAAATACCCTTTTCGGAGGAATCTGTTTCATATTCTGATGATACTAATCGCTGTTATAGAGGGACGTTTAGCCAGATTCTTCCAACAATAAATATTTCGAGTTTGAATCAATCATCAACACCACCATTGGCAATTTCCTCAACCGCTTTTGATATCAACTTGCCAGCTTTAGATCCTTTTCGCTCTCCAACATTTGATGGGAGTTTTAGCTATCAACCTTCTTCCCTAAATGTTCATAATCTTGGAGGCCTTTTAAAAGACAAATGTTTGTCTTATGGTCTTGACCAAATGCATCAGCCAAATCACAGCCAAGTTTGTCATAGCAAGGTGAATTTTATTTTATTTTATTATTATTATTATTAATTTTGTCTTATGTTCTTTTTTTTGTGGTCAATTTATAGTTTCCCTAGCTAGTATTTTATATATTTAATATTACGTTATAAAGTCAGTCCAGAAAATAAGTACTATTCAACCTAAATTTGAGCACAGTATTCAACCTAAAATTTACCACAGATTGAATGCCTGCTGAAGAAGATGATGTATATCCATCTTTACTTTGATACAGAAACCTTCCATTCTTCGGTTTAATTAAATAATCGAAAGTTTAACCTAAAATTTATACACATGGTTTAAAATTTATCGTAGGTATTACCACCCTTCATCGTCGAAACTACAGAAGCGAAAAGGTCAGCCAGCAATTATATGGATGCAAAGGCCATTAAAGCAACTCCACCTAAGAAATCAAAACTGGAGTTGCGCCCTTCTTGCGCACCCTTGAAGGTGATTAAATTTAAATGCGCTTTTTTTTTTTTTTTTTTTTACTTTTATAGTTTCAAGTATCGATCATATATTCATGGGTGTGCGTGTTTTGGTGAATCAGGTTAGAAAGGAGAAATTAGGCGATAGAATATCTGCTCTTCAGCAAATGGTAGCACCTTTCGGCAAGGTATAGTGTTATCTTTCGTCCTCTCATAAAGTTGCTAGCTTTCTCCTTTCTTGCACTAATTAAAGAACTTTTTTTCTTAAAATTTTCTGATACTGAAATATGCTTTGTCGCTTTTTCAATGCGAAATTAAAACACCATTTTGGCGACTAGAAATCGTTACAAAACATCCATATGCTATTATTCAACGATCCATGCTATATATAGAGAGAAGGTATATATATACACTTATATATATATGCACTTACATTAAACCCTAACATTTCGGTTCATAACATTGACTTAGTTCCTCCTATACTATTCTACTTATTTCTTTCTTTTTCTTCTTCTTTTTGACAGAAACAGAAGATATTTTCTTCTTTTTTTTCTACTTCGTGATTTCATGGTTCTAAATAATTGAATAAAGTAACTGCTCCCAAAAAATTAAGAATAAACAATGAAGGGAGAAACTTAAACTTCAATTTTGAATTAAGCAAAAATCTTGAAGCATCACTTGAGTTATGGGCAACTCAATTTTCTGGGGAAAAGGCACACGTCTTGCCTGAAAACGGGTTGCAGACCACCGCCCACTGTCTCTTTCTTTTCCTTTTTTTTCTTTGTTAACTCGGAACTTCTTTCTTTGATCCATACAAGCCATAGATAAATGAATAAATTAATTGTTATATTATTATCAATCAATAATTAATTAACTATGGTTTTGATAAACGTGATTGTGAGGATTTATGGGGAATATTTGCAGACAGATACTGCATCAGTGCTAATGGAAGCCATTGGATATATCAAGTTTCTGCAGAACCAAGTAGAGGTATACCTTTACCTATACTTAATTAATTCTTCTCTTCAAAACATTCTTCTTGGTTTCTGTTCTTCGTTAGGGCTTCCAAGCTTATATTATACTATTATTATTATTTTCATTATTTAAAAGGCAAGAAAATTTTATTAAAATAAACAAGCTATCGATGGATAGATTGGAATCAGTGACTCGACCAAGTTATATATATCTCTACCATTCTTATTATTAGTCCGTTTTTCCACCCTACAAATTATTCAAACTTCAATTTATTATTTAAAAACCAAATTTGTTATCTTTTAATTAACATCAAATATGTTATAGTTAATTAATTTCTTTCGGGTAGAAAATTTGACTCCTCTTTGTGAGTATATATATATATATATATATATATATATATATATATATATATATATATATATATATATATAACTCGGGGCAAACCCTAATCTACAGAATGGATTTAAGATGATAATAAAACGTAAAGTGATGTGTCGTTTATTGAATAGTATATATGAAACTCAAAAAGAATATTAATTTACACTTTTATGCCCTGATGATGCTGAAATTTCAGAAGTGTACCACTAGATAAAACTGTACAGTATGGAGCCCATACGTGCTTTTCACACAATCTTATGGCACAATGTAGGGCTCATGCTGATGCACACACACTCTCCACCCATGACCCTTTCTGTCTTCTCTAACTAAGAGTCTTAATTGCTAAGGATGCCATACATTTTTTCTCTACACTTTTAATTTATTGATACACGAAAGAAAAAAACATATAAACCTTAAAAGGTTTAAAAGAAATGCCAACTGACGGCATTTTTCATAGGTCTAAATTAACAATATATATGCTATAATTATCAACTCTTGATTGTTTGCAGACGTTAAGCGTGCCATACATGAAGTCAACACAAAAGGTCACTAGAACATCGACACGAGGGGTAAGTAACTTTCTGGAATTTATTGAACTCAAGTGCAGGCCTATATATATGTTTAACAAACTCGGTCTATATGGCATTGTTAAACTTTTAGAAAAAAACAATTCGTGAAACAAAAGATTGTTATCATGTAGTCATGTTCTTTTAAACGATAATATGAAACAAGCTAGCCGTCTAACTTGAAATTTTTGAAATCAACATCAAAGAAATTAATCAATAGAAATGTGCTTACATATTATTACATCTCAGGGTTCAATAAAAATTGGAAATGAAGAGATGAAGAGGGATCTTAGAAGTCGAGGGTTGTGTCTAGTGCCATTATCGTGTTTGTCGTATGTCACATACGGAGGTGGAAACATTTGGGCAACCCCCTAGCTAATAAGTTTGATGGGATTATTAGCTCATTATTGACTTGAGTCCTGAGTGACAAGAGCATATTGAGCATGGGAAATTATATATGTGGCTTTAGATCGATTGTTTAATTTATCTCTACTTTTTGTTAATAAAACGGAGCAAATTTGGTAGTCTTGTAAAAGATATAAACGAGGATGCACCATGTTTGATCCATATAGTCATGTATCCAATTTTTTTTTTCTCGAACAACACTTTTTTGAGAAAATTAGCTAGAGGGTAGCAAAGAGAACGAGACACCCATGGAATTACAAAGGAACCAATCCTACCAAGGAGGGCTATGAAAGGAAACCCTAGAAATTAACCCGGTTCAAGGATCTATTTTTACTTGTATTCGAGATCCAATAGAAAGCTAAAAGAACAAAAATAGTAGCACAATGTCATCTAGTATCTTTGAAAAGCATGTCATTTCAAGTATTCTGCTAGAATTAAAGCATGGTTTGGATCACCATGGTGAAGCAATGCTCTTCGAAATGACCCATATTTGAGAGAGTATTAAGTTTCATAACTATGCTCTAAGGCTCCATTTTAGATATGTGACCAGTTAAATCCAAGCTTGAAATGTGGACCATGTCGAGAGAGCCTTACCTATTGTTCAGTCCCATAATGCTTTCTACGTGAAGTTATACACATTTTTATCTTTTTCAGGTTTTGTTATTTGCATTGTGTTCAGCCATGAACTTTTTCGGGTTGGCTTAATTTTTTGCTTCCTATTGAAATAGTGATGCTGTAATCTGGATGGTCATTCATCAATATTATAAAAGTTGAATTTTTCTCTCCAAACTTTAATTGTGATCCCCAAATCCATGATATTCTTTTAATTTAGTTAATGCGGGATTAGAAGATTGTCTTGGATATTCTAAGAATCAACAGGGCTAATTTACGTTTAGGAGTTGTACACTAGCTACACCAAGGGTGTTGAGGTGGTCTTAACTACGAAATCATATGGTCTTTGGAGGTTTCAGAAATCTTGTGCTTTTGAGGATAATAGGTTGAGGATAGATTACCGTTTTTATTCTATTGTCGTACAATATTTTATATGGATTATTAACATGAGGTGTTGATGTAAGCTGGATTGGTTTATGGGGATATCATGTACGTATCTAGCTTTTTAACATTCCCAATTTGGCGTTTTGAGATAGCTTCTTGTTAGTTGGTAATAATAGTGTTGCTTTAAATAAAAAAATAAAAATAAATAAAAGAAGAGGAAAATATCCAATTTCTTGCTAGTCGGTGATAAACGTTTTGTTTCTCAAACAATGGAAAAACAATTTCCATCTATTGTCCACAAAGTTGAAATTTTACGTGAGTTAGAGCTAGCAAAAATGCAATCGACTAATAAGCGAGTTAAGAATTGTAAAGAACCATCATATATTTTGTTAGGTTTTTATTCAAAATTTTGTTTCAAAAACAAGATTTTAGCAACAGAAGACTCGAGTATTTTTTGAACAAAACTAGTTATAACCAACCATGAATTATCTTGAAAAGTTTGGAAAGAAAACAAACACCAAAGAATAAGAATAGTTTAACAACCTTTGTAGACTTTAGATTATCTAAGGGAGACTTGGAAGTTGATGGAGAATGTGAAACCTTTAAGACATCAACAAATTACCAACTTGATGTAGGATGCTAGTCCTTTTGATGTACTCTTAAGCTTGTAAGTAAAACACCCAAGTATTCTATCCAAGAAAGCAAATGCAAGCAACTTATAACTCTTCAAACAATGTAAGAGAGAAAGAGTGGGAGAGGGAGAGTATTTTTGGCCAATGCATGCGAGAGTGAATGATTCAAATGCAAGCCTCTAGTCTTAAGCATAAAGTAAAGTCATTAGCAATTAGGTCTTTACACTTTAAGACAACAATGTCCCTATGTTATGAACATGTGTAACATCTCGACTCTCATGTATGAGATTTATGGCTTAAAAGGTAAATTCCCCTTTGGAACTCGTCGAATTGATGGACTTAACTCGACGTGTTGGAAGATATTGGGTCGCACATATTTTTGGACCAACTCGACGAGTTGTAGAGGGAAAAGTCGACGAGTTGATGGTTGATTATGAAACCCTAATTTTTAGGGTCTTACACCCTATTTAAAGGCCTTATGGCCTCCTTATTCGCCCCCTCTGTCCAGAAAACTCTAATTCGAGCATCCTCTCCCATTTTGGGTGTGTATGAGCTTGAGGAATGATTCTAGGTGTTCTTTTGAAGGAGCTTGGAGTTTGAAGAGGTTTGATTGAGAGGAAGGCTATAGATCCGGAATCTTCTCTGTTGTTGCAGCCATTTTGAGGTATAAAGTTGATACCTTGATCATTTATTTCTTAGATTTTCTCCTTGGAAGTTTATTATCATTTTTGAGTCATTTTGGAGTCATTCTTTAGATTGGGCACTTCTTGAAGTTGTCACTTCAGATCTGGATGCTTTGTGGCCTTTTTGGGCTTAAAGCTTCAAGCTTTATCAAGTTATAGGCCCCCCTTTATGCTTTAGGCCATTGTTAAGCCTTCTTCGAGCTTTGAAGCCTCTTAGTGTCATGCATGGACGTAAAGTTAGCAACTTTACGTGGTTTTCCAGCTCTTGGGTACCAGATCTACATTCTTAAGGGTTAGAATGGATGAAAAATGATTGAATGAGTTCAGTTGGGAAAACTCGACGAGTTGTCTTGACAACTCGGCGAGTTGGCTCGCGTTTTCCTGCTTTTCTGGATACTGTAGGAACTCGACGAGTTGTCGTTACAACTCGGAAAGTTGGGTCAACATGGATGGTTGACTGTTGACTTTGACCATGGTTGACCAAGTTTGACTTTGATGGCATTTTTGGTATTTCGGGGTTTTGATAGTGTAATGTCCGTGTTTCTAGGCTAGGCATTAATGATGATGTAATAGTCTAGGCCAACCTTTGTAACTTATCTTGAAATAATAAAATGTATTATTTGATTATTATTTGTTTTATGTTTAATTATTATAATTTAATGAATTAAGGATAAAAATAAGCATAAAAAATAAATGTTATATAAACCCGATATCTATGAAGAAAATTGTCGTGGTTGAAATAAGGATTTCAAAGATATAAAGAATACCGAAATCCGAGTTATACCGAAGAAGTTATGACCTGTCGAAGTTTCGCAATAGAACCGGCACGACACTGTGTGGCGTAAAAGAGTGAATTTATGATAAAGTGTTTTTTAGCAATAGCAATCTAAACGAAAGTCGTGGTGTTCGTTAAACTGATAGCGTGCATAAAAAAATGTTCAAATTTGACTTCGTATTCGTATGAGGAAGTTATGAATTTTCTAAGATTTTGCATAACAGTATGCAGTCCGAAACTCGAATTTTAGATCGAGTGATTTTTAGCCAAAACAACCTTAACGCGAATCGGAGATCTCGTTGATAGTAATTCAACGGTAAAAAGACAGACGAAAACGGACGTCGGATGAAGAAGTTATTCATTTTTAACGGACTTTTCATGTCCCAGCCTATTAAAAATATAACTTTAAAAATAAAGTCAAAATTAGCTGACGGAGTCTAAAACAAAGTTGTAGAGCACGGTCTCACCTACACATGGATATAAGAACGTCAAAAACAGAGCTCGTATGCGAAAGTTATAATTTTTTTAATTTGAAAACTCGGAGTATGCCCAGTGTACTCGTGTAAGTGTTCTAGAGTCCGTCGCCTTGCCTACTCCTTCACATGAGAGCCACGTGTCGTAGCCTTAACGCATCCGAGCTGATCCACTCCGTAAGCCCAGCATACGAAGTTACGCCCAGCGAAGAGATGTGTGAAGCAGTACGCCCCGCGTACCGAAGTATTACGCACAGCGTACTAAGGAGCTTCGGCCTCCTATAATTGGATCTGAAGCCAGTCAATTTTTTGGTTACAAAATTTCACTCCTCTCACCCTCTACTTTCCTTTTTGCTACACTAAATACCCTCATACCTATTATATCATCCTAGCATCATAAGCAAGTCCTAGAGAGCCCGAAGATCTCGAGAAAAAAGACTTTTCGAGCCGAAACTTTGTCCGCGTAAAGCCAGGTTTTTGAGAAAACATCTCGATTTAATCGAAAAAGATTGTTTTAAGAGACGAAGTGTTGACCAATTGTCGTTAAATCAAGTGAGTGTATAGTCATCTTCATCACACACACACACACACACACACACACACACACACACATATATATATATATATATATATATATATATATATATATATATATATATATATATATATGAAGTATTTTCTATAAAATACGTGCTATGTGTAATTATATTTTGTGTTTATTTGAGATGGGTGTTGAATAGATGTTTTATATAAGTTTTAAACTGTGTGTGTGTGTATATATATATATATATATATATATATATATATATATATATATATCTACAAATATGTTGGGTAAAACATGGGTAGATGAAATAGTTGATGTGTGTTAAAATGATGAGAGGCATCGATATTGTTGTTGTTTCAGTCATCTAGCGGAGTGTAGATGACGATCACGAACCTTTCTAAACAGTCCAGTGGAACGCTAACAGACTCGCAACCTGTAGGTGTTTGTGAACTTAATGTTCAATGGTGTACTCCATCCCCCACATGGCTGCCTTATTTGACATAAATTGCTGAGGAATCCCCTAAAGCAGTGTTATCACCTGTGACATCCCCAATTTCTTGGCCAAAAAAGACCGATTTGTTTATGCTTTGTTTTTAAAATCAGAGTAATTGTTTAAAGAAAATGGTTGCGTAATTTGTTCCCAAAACAAGATATAAGAAAAACTTATCAAAACATTTCTCAAAGATAATGTATTTTCATTCAATAATAAAACCTCGGGATGTCATGTTCCGATATAGACACATAATCATAAACAGAACATACATTCATTTACTCTAGTGAATAACATCTCCTTTAATCTCTCAGTGCAAAGCAGCTTCGTATCGATACTTGTGATACAATTAAACTGAGTGGGTCATGCTTGGGAGCCTGGTGAGCATATAGGGTTTTCAACCAACAATATTACATCATAAATATTAAATCATCAAACAATCAACCCAATTACCCATCCCCATTATCTCCATTTATTTCTTAAGTACCTTCCCTAAGGAATTATCCTAAGGGTCATCTCCTACATCGTATTTACCTCTCATCTCCTTACATCACATTTCCTTGTATGTTTGTTCCTAAGGACTTTTTCCTAAGGATCATCGTATGAATACGTAGTCACAACATCGTCTGGACTAGTAAGTCATAATAAGGGTTAGACTATCATCGCATGAATACGTAGCCACAACATCGCCTGGACTCGTAATTCATAGTAAGGTTTAGTCTATCATCGCATGAATACGTAGCCACAACATTGCCTGGACTCGTAATTCATAGTAAGGGTTAGAGTATCATCGCATGAATACGTAGCCACAACATCGCATGGACTTGTAATTCATCACCTACAGGTTATGAGCATGCTGGTGTTTCCACGGGGTCATCTAGAATAGTCCGTGGTCGCCATCTATACTATGGTAGATGACTACATCACCAAATTGCCACATCGTCGGTCAAGGTTATGGTATCTCCTCTCATCTCACATCACCTATTTATCATCACCTAATTATCATCACTTATTTCTCATCACCTAATTATCATCACACATCATCTAATTCATCTACCCATGTTCTACCCAACATATTTGTAGATATAAAATACATATG